CTTCAGCCAGGCTTTTTTGCAAATTGGGCTTCAGCTGCGGATTGGGCCTTCCTACAAATTTGCCCCGACTTCGGGCCCAAATTTGACTTCGATTCAGACCGAATCTATGAAAGCCCAAAACACAAAAGTTGTGGATTTTTCTCTTGTCTTTCTAGTGGGTCTTGAATCAGCCCATTCAGAGTTCGGATACGCGAGTTAGGTCCAAATTACTGAATGGTGCCGAAACTATGAAAAATCATCCGAATTGCCTTTCTTTGCTCCTGATGCCTTCTTTCATGCCTTGAACCGAAATACAAGAAATATGAGTCCAATTAAGTACTAATTAAGTGTGAAAGACAGAATATTTGGGGATAAAAATATGATAAATTCTACTCTCATCAAATCCCCCCACACTTAAACTTTGCCCGTCCTCGGGCAAGACAAAACTCAAAACAAAATTAAAACAGGAACCAGCTAACTAAAAGATTGTTTTGGATTTTTCTCAATAGGGTACTTGTTCTCCCGCATGCCTTGATCCAGTATTAATGGTCCTTCCATTCGTCTACTTCTTTTCCTCTTTAACTTGTCAAAGAATAATCTTAAATTGCCAATCCTCATGTCCTCAAGTGAAATCGATAATCAAGGGAAACAAGCATCTTTTCGCATGAATAATTTAGGACTAGAGTAAGCCCTCTTTGTTTTCACAATCACATGCAGCAAGATTCAAAAATACACTCATGATTTTTTAGAACGAAACAAGGAATGTTATTACCATAAGCTTGTTTATGTATCACATCTCCACCACTTATCATGAGTTCAATGCATTAAAAGGTGAATTAGGGTTTGGGACCTAGGGATGAGTGCATTTTATGCTCCATCTCACCCATTTCTTATGCTTTTAGTGTGAGTGTATTTTATGCTCCATCTCACCCTTTTCTTATGCTTTTAGTGTGAGTGCATTTTATGCTCCATCTCACACTTATTCAGAAAATAAAAGATTTCTTTTGATAGATCACGTTCCAATCCATGAACTCATTATTGTGGTCTCAACATGCCTAACAAAACAAGTTCTAGAATAATCAAACAATGTCTGTCTATCAGAAACCAAATGCTCACAAGGGTCAAATATGTATTGCATTTTTCCCGTTGATCATTCCCACTACTGAGATACCTTCCACAGCCAAAAATTTTAACTAGATTTGCTTGCATCCTTTCTTGTCTATCTCACCTAAGCACATGATTCATGGTGGTTTGCAATCATTCAAAAATGTCTCTAAGGAGCAGAAATTTCGAAAGGAAATGTTAGAGAGTTGTAATCGAAACATGCCGAAAAAATTTATCAACCCCTTAATCCTCCCCCACACTTAAGATATACATTGTCCTCAATGTATGGAATATGAATAACAAGAACAATGAGAGAAAGGTTTAAGAGGACTTCCCTGAATACCTCATTGAGATCCTGTGAGATACCAAAAAAAACACACTCATAAGAAAGAAAACTGAACAAAACAAACAATTAAACTTAATGGGTTGCCTCCCACAAGCGCTCCTTTTAAGTCCTGAGCTAGACTTTCACCTTTCTTTCATGGCGGTTTTAAGGGGAGAGAATGGACCCATGGTGGATGGGTTGCTCTCCTTCAATATAATTCTTTAAACGCTGCCCATTTACCTTGAATGTGTTGCCCTTACCATTATGCAGTTCAATCGCTCAATGAGAGAATACCCTAGCCACTACAAAGGGTCCACTCCACCTTGTTTTCAACTTCCCAGGGAATAGCTTGAGATGAGAATTAAAGAGCAATACTTTGTCTCCTTCCTTAAATTCCTTATTTACAATACGGGAGTCATGCCATGCTTTGGTTCTTTCTTTGTAAGTCTGGGCATTCTCATATGCTTGATTTCTCCATTCCTTTAATTCATTTAGCTGGAACTTCCTTTGATCACCTGCATTTCTTAAATCGAAATTTAGAAATTTGGTAAACCAGTAAGCTCTATGTTCCAGCTCAACGGGTAGATGGCATGCTTTGCCAAAGACTAATTGATAAGGGGACATACCGATTGGGGTTTTGAATGCCGTACGATAGGCCCAAAGTATCGTCTTAAGGACCAATCCCTCCTAGAAATGGTAACCGTCTTTTCCAAAATCTGTTTTAATTCTCTATTAGAGATTTCTACTTGGCCTCTAGTCTGGGGGTGGTAGGGGGTTGCAATTCTATGTGTAACACCATATTTGCTTAATAGTTGTTCGAATTGTTTGTTACAGAAATGCTTCCCCCCATCACTTATGATAGCTTGAGGTGTTCCAAAATGGGTGAATATGAATTTTTTTATGAACTTAATGACAACCCGAGCATCATTAGTGGGATATGCACATGCTTCCACCCATTTGCTCACATAATCCACAGCCACAAGTATATAGGAATTATTAACCAATTTTGGGAAAGGTTCCATGAAATCGATGCCCCATACATCAAATATTTCGCAAACAAGAATGTTGTTTAAGGGCATCTCGTTTTGTCGGGAGATATTAGCTGTCCTCTGGTAATGATCACAAGCATTTACATATGTGTAGACATCCTTGAAGAGTGATGGCCAATAAAAACCGCTTTGTAGAATTTTCGAAGCGGTTCTTGATGTTCCATGGTGACCTCCTACTTCTCTGTCATGGCAGAATTTTGTAACACTGAGCACTTCCTCCTCGGGAATACATCTCCTTATTAGTCCATCCCCGTAGATCCTGTACAAGTAAGGCTCATCCCAAAAATAATGCTTTACATCAGAGAATAATTTCTTCCTCTACTGATATGTCAAGTGAAGTGGCACCACCTTCCCTAACAAAAAGTTAGCCAAATCAGCAAACCATGGTTCATTGTTTCTGCTAATCGCATATAGTTGCTCATCTGGGAATTCATCATGCAAGGTCGAATTATTAATATTTTCAACATAACTTTCATCCAGCCTTGATAAATGATCAGCTATTGTATTTTCACTACCCTTTTTGTCTTTAATTTCTAGGTCAAATTCTTGCAAAAGCAAGATCCATCGTAGCAGCCTAGGTTTTGCATCTTTCTTAGCAAGTAGATATCTCAAGGCAGCATGGTCAGTGAAAACAATGACTTTAGATAAGAGCAAATAAGATCTGAATTTTTCAATAGCAAATACTACTACAAGTAATTCCTTTTCGGTAGTGGAATAATTTTTTTGTGTTTCATTCATGGTCCTACTTGCATAGTAAATGGTGTGAAATTTCTTATCTTTTCTTTGCCCTAAAACTGTGCCCAAGGTATCATTGCTTGCATCACACATTATTTCGAAGGGTAGTTCCCATACAAGGGCTGATACAATAGGAGCCTAAATCAATTTCTCCTTAAGAGTATTGAATGCATACAAACAATCATCATTGAATTCGAACGGTACATCCTTAACTAGTAGATTTGTTAGGGGTCTGGCGATTTTAGAAAAATCTTTGATGAACCGTCTATCAAAACCGGCGTGCCCGAGAAAACCCCTAACCTCTTTTAATGATTAAGGTGGAGGTAGTTTTTCAATCAGTTCTATTTTGGCTTTATCAACCTCGATGCCCCGGGAGGACACCTTATGTCCTAGAACTATTCCTTCCCTAACCATGAAATGACATTTTTCCCAGTTCAAAACAAGGTTAGACTCCTCACACCTTTGAAGTACCTTTTCCAAATTAAGCAAGAATCCATCGAATGATGATCCATAAATGGAGAAATCGTCCATGAAGACTTCCATGAAGTCATCGATGAAATCACCAAATAATGACATTATACAATGCTGGAAAGTGGCAGGTGCATTGCACAGTCCAAATGGCATTCTCCTAAATGCAAAGGTTCCATATGGGCAAGTAAAACTGGTCTTCTCCTGATCCTCAAGTGCAATGGGTACTTGAAGATACCCGGAGTAGCCATCTAGGAAGCAATAATATTCGTGCCCTGCAAGTCTCTCTATCATCTGGTCAATAAATGGCAAAGGAAAGTGATCTTTCCTAGTGGCCTCATTCAGCTTTTGATAGTCTATGCACACCCTCCAGCCAGTTACTGTTCTTGTGGGAGTTGATTTATTATTTTCATTTAGAATTATAGTAATCTCTCATTTCTTTGGTACGACTTGAATAGGACTTACCCATGATGAATCAGAAATCGGGTAGATAATACTTGCTTCAAGCCATTTCAGAATTTCTGCCTTCACTACCTGTTGCATTTTAGGGTTCAGCCTCCTTTGTGGTTGTTCCTTGGGATTGCAGCCTTGTTTCATCATAATTTTATGTATGCATACCAAAGGGTTAATCCCTTTTATGTCGGTGATGCTCTATCCTATGGCCGATATGTGTTGCTTGAGCACCCTCACAAGTTTTTCCTCTTGGGGACCTGTCAATTCAAAAGAGATAATTACAGGTAAGGTGGAACTGTCTCCCAAAAATATATATTTTAAATGAAGAGGCAAGGGTTTAAGTTCCAAAGCTGGAGGTGCTTTGATGGAGGGTAATAATTGTTTATTGGAGGTCGGCCCATCTAGTGGTAGAAATCTCCCTTGTCTTGGTTTGCATTCTTCTTGGCCGGCCCCTAAATAATTCACCGCCTCCTTTGCCTCTTCCTCCATCACCTGTATGTTATTACAAGGGTTAACAATACAGTTTTCAACAGGATCATCTAACTTTGAATTATTAATTTTAGCTGCCCAAACATCAATAGAATCAATTGCATATATCTCATGTTCTTTTGTGTTGGGATACTTCATGGTTTAGAAAACGTTAAATACCATCTCCTCACCGTTGATCCTAAGGGTAAGTAAACCCTTTTGTACATCAATTAAAGTGTTACCGGTAGCAAGAAAGGGTCTTCCAAGGATCAATGGCATCGATCTATCCTCCTCCATATCCAACACAATGAAATCAACAGGGATGATGAAATTCCCTACTTTAACTAAAACATCTTCCACTATTCCCCTAGGGTATTTAATGTTTCGATCAGCCAATTGTAGGGTAATAGTTGTAGATGTTAGTTCATGCAATCCAAGCCTTTCTCAAATTCAGCATTCCCTATGGTGCAAGGTATAGAGAAACTCCCTGGATCCTTAAGTTTTGGAGGCAGTTTATTTTGAAGAATGGCTGAACACTCTTCATTTAGCTTTACCATCTCGCAATCCTCCCACTTCCTTTTGTTGGACATCATCTCCTTTAGGAATTTGGCATACTTCGGCATCTGTGACAATACATCAAGAAAATGAAGGTTAATATGGATCTTTTTAAACACTTCCAAAAATTTTTCAAATTGATTATCTAATTTAGCCTTCAAGACTCTTCTTGGGTAGGGAATAGGGAGTTTAATTTCATCTAAATTCAGTTTAGGGGTGCTTCCCTCATTCTCCTTTTGTAGATCGGCCGATTCAGCTTCCTTGTCATCTTCTTGGGCTTCGCCGACTGTCTTCCCACTTCTTAAGGCTATGGCATTCACATGCTCTCTAGGATTCTTCTTTATGTTGCTGGGTAGCTGTCCCTCTTTTCTTTCCAACAGCATGCTTACAATCTGCCCCACTTGAACTTCTAAGTTCTTAATCGATGTTTCATGGCTTTGGAATTTTGCTTCAGCAGTATTGATGAACTTAGAAATCATCTCTTCCAAATTGCTCTTTTTTTCTTGCGGGGGCGGCTATGGTTGGAATCCCATGGGTGTCTTTTGCTGATTGTTGCTCCATGAAAAGTTTGGATGATTCCTCCACCCTGGGTTGTATGTATTTGAGTAGGGATTGAAATTCGGCCTGCCAGCATGAGAGATAAAATTATCATTCTCATGGGAAATAAAAGGACTGCTTAATTGACAATCAGAATTTATATGTCCTATTTGACCACATAAATCGCATGAGATGCTAGATGATGTATTAATGGCTGCAATATTAAAAGTATCAAGTTTCTTATTCAGATTAGCAATTTGCGCAGATAGGGCTGCAAAGGAATCGATGTGGTGTACTCCCCTCTGATTGGTTCGGTCATTGCTCCACTGGTAGTTGTTTGATACCATCTCCTCCACTAGGTCATAAGCTTCCTCTAGAGTTTTCCTCATGATTGTGCCACCTGTGGCTGCATCAATAATGGATCGATTAGAGGGGGTAATATCATTATAAAAAGTCTGGATTTGGCGCCAAGTTGGTATCCCATGGTGAGGACACTTCCTAAGCATCTCCTTGAATCGTTCCCATGCTTCATACAAAGATTCTCTCTCAAATTGAGCAAAAGTAGTAATATCATTAATTAATTTTGCTGTTTTGGAGGGGGGGAAATATTTAGCCAAAAAGTTCTGGGTTAGATCATTCCAAGTGGTGATACTTCCTGCAGGGAGTGAGTTAAGCCAATCTTTAGCTCTATCACGCAATGAAAAAGGAAATAATCTAAGCCTAATAGCATCATCACTAACTCCATTATGTTTAAATGTATCACATATTTCTAGGAAGTTAACAATGTGTGCATTAGGGTCATTACTTGGCAACCCACTAAACTGAATACTTGTCTAGATCATCTGAATTATTGTAGGCTTGATTTCAAAATTATTGGTCTGAATGGTGGGCTTGCAAATGCTGGATGTCGCCCCATCAATTGTTGGACAAGCATAGTCCAAGAGGGTGCGATTTGCTTCTGCCATCTCTCTTTCGATTTCTATTGTTGGTTCGCCAATAACAACCTCCTCTCTTGTCTTACCTTTGTTAGTTCTTTGCAACAAACGAAGGGTCCTCTCAATTTCTGGATCGAATTCTGCTAGTCCCTCTCTTCTAGTGCATGTCATGCACTAGTAAATCTGAACCAACAAGAATCCAAACAAATAAAATAAAATAAAAATAAGGAATAAAACAGAAATAAAATAAAAAAATCCAAATTAACCAAGGTTAACAAGTTCTAATATTATTTTAGGATTAAATCCCCGGCAATGGCGCCAAAAACTTGATAGCTATGAAAATAACCCTAGCAAGTGCACTATTTAACAAGTAGTATAAAAATATTGTTCCCATGGGGATTTAACAAAATAAGTATTAGAACCCTAGTCTTCCCTAATTATTTGGACAATCAAAATTCAGATTTGAGGGAGCAAGAACTACTGAAAATAAAAACTAGGAAAAGCAAGGACAATCAACAACCGAATATGCAAAGGATGAAATCACTAGGGCTTTAGGTCCACCCAACCA